AGGTGAAAGAGGAGGAAGGAGTGGCCCATATCTCTCTGAGGCCACACCCCCAGAGACCTGACTGCCTTCCACTGGGCCCTGCCTCCTAAAGGTGCCACCCGTGGCACCTCCTCCACCTCTTCCTTCTCCCTCCTCCTGCCAGAGCCTGCTGCACCTGTCCCCTGCGTGCGGGCTCCTCCACTCTGATGTGGCAGTGTTGTTTCCATGACAGTGCTTTTTCTGGGGGGACCGTGGACGGGGGGACACATGGCAGGGTCGGGGGAGGCTGTGGAGTCCAGGGAGGGATTTCTGGTTTAAAACCGGGACTCAGATTTCCAGCTATCTCCAGGAGGTACCGGTGCACCTGGTGTGGAGGAGGCTCGCGCAGGGGCTGCTCGGCTTGTCCAGTCAGCTCCGAGCCCGTGACCAGATCCGAGGGTCGCCACTCTAGGCAGGGGCTCGAGAGCAGGGCCATCTTGAATGGGAAGGACACACACGCACAAAAGGCGTCTTGTAATTTCATTAATAATTGTACTTCCAGTGACTATTAAATAGGAGTGATGGGCGAAATTAAAATCCAACCAGGTTATGAGAAATGGAGAGTGAATAATATTTTTGAAGGACGACCAGGTGGAAAAGTCTGCTGCAACCCACCGATTAAAATACACATTACCCCTTAAACAGGCTCGATGTAAAAATGCAATTCTCCACAGATCATTGCCGTTCATACATTTATTTTCTGCTGACTGACTTTGATTTATGGGGCCCTTTCCCAGCTCCGTGTTCGGCTCTCAGGTTTGAAGCCTGGGTTTCGAGCGTGGGTGGGGAAGGGGTCTGGCAATGGAGATCAGGCGTGGTGGTCTTTGCTCTGCACAGCCTGAGGTGAGGCCCTCACATCTTCGTGAGGCCCATCTGGGGGAAGGAGGGAGCAGGGGCGACGGAGAACAGTGGCCATCTGGGGACCCCTCTTCATCTGGGGCAGCCTCTGCAAGTGGCCAGTAGACCCAGATTTGGGGTCAGGCGGCCCCCGGAATCCCTCGGCCCTGGGCTTTCTCGGCTGTTATCTCGGGTGAGCTGACCCTCAGAGTCCTCACCTATAACATGGGTGCCTGAGTAACTAAGGGCAGGCTGTGTCTCTCAGAAGGCGGTGTCAGTGGGCCAGGCGCTTCCTTCAGAGCTCGGAGGTTGAATCTGCCCCAGGCCTCAGCCCTGACCTCTCAGGTTTCCGGAAGCCTGGCTCTCCTTGGTGGTTGGGCACTGCACTCCCCTGCCTCCATCTGCACCACGCCTCTCGCTTTGTGTGTCTCCTACCGGGGTCCCATCGTGCAGTTCAGGGCCTCACCCCAGACCAGCTCCTCTTGGGACCTTGGACGATATCCACAAAGACTTTTTCCCCAAGCATGGACATGGGGGACGCATACTGGGTGCCCCGTTCAGCCCACGGCATCCAGGGTCTGTGGGACCCAGAGAAAGCCACACCCTGAGCATATGTGGGGAGCAGGTCCAGGGCATCCCAGGAATCTTCCAGACAGGGTTCCCCAGGGTGAGTGGGGGGCAGGGAGCGCGGCTGGGGGTGGGCATCCATCTGTCCTGCCGACTGAGGTGCCCCGTGTCTGCCGCAGGCCGAGGGGCCCCCTCTTGCCCTCCTGGTCTGGCTGGCCTCTCCCGGGCATGTTCCTGTGGCGGTGTTGTCCATCCTCCTAGGCGTCCTCCAGCCCACCCATACCCAAGTCCCTGCTCGGGGACAGTGGACTCCTGCTGCTACCAGTTCCCTGGCCTCCCCAGCTAGCACGGGCCGTGGTCACTAGCGGGCGGTCACGGGTCCCCCTGTGGGCCTCGCTGACCTGGGCATGCCTCCTCCTCTCTTTCCACTTCCGCTTACATCCTGGCCCGAGGCTGGTCCTCCAGAGCCAGGGACACCTGTGTGGGGCTCCCAGGACAGGGAGGCCAGGGCTAATGAGATGGGCTTGGTCCTCATCCTCGGGTTGGCTGGGGAGCGGGTGGCCGGGCCCTGTTGTCTGGGTGTCTACAGAGGCCGGGGGAGGTGGGTGGGATGGGAGGATTTCAATGGCCAAACCTTTTATTTTCGCATCTTTCTGCTGATGTGTCTCTCAAGTCTGTCTCTCCCTCGCTTCCTCTCCTTCTCTCTTTCTGTCTCTCAACTTTTCACGACTAGTAGCAAGCCAGGCCTGGTAGCTCATGCTTATACCTATAATCCCAGCACCTGGGAGGCAGAGGCAGGAGGATCGCCTTGGGGGCAAGGCCAGCCTGGGCTACACAGATGGTGAGACTCTGTCTCAAAAAACAGTGACAACAAAGCATAAGAAGAAGATGCAGAAATAGTCAGCAGCAGCTTGTGCACCCTTCCTACAGCTTCCTCTCTGGTGGCCCCTCTCGGGCGTGGATCCCGAGCCTCTCAGGTTGTGGCTATTGCTCTGTGCGTGGCTCGGGCTGCCTCTTCCATGTGCACCCGTGGCCCCTTCCTCCCTGGAAGAGAGGGCTGTGTCCCCCTGTCAGGAGCCTGCCTCACTGTTTTGATGGCAGCTCTGACCCAGGGTCTTTCTGGCCTGTCTCTGTGTTAGCAGGAAGCACAGTTGTCCCTGTCCACATCTGTCTCAGCTCCCGCAGCCTCGGTCCCTGGAGTAGAGGGGACAGGAGAGGAGGCCGCACAGGCCAGGGGCCCAGCGGGGACGTAGCAGACAGAGGGAACCGCTGTCCCCCACGCTGGGCTGCTGTTGTTTGTCAAGCCTCTGGCACGGGCAGGGCCCTGGCAGACATGACCACCCTCTCCGTGGCCAGGGGCCACGGGATCCGTCTCCTCCGGTGTTGCAGATGAGGGATGGAAACGGGGCAGCCACAGAAGGGGCGTCCACCCAGGTCAAACTGGCTCGGAGCCCGCAGCCTGACCCCGGCCCCTCGTGACTCACTCTGTGGACGTGCTGCCCTCTGAGGTGCTAGGTGACCCATGGGGTGGGAGCCTGTGCTCCAAGAGGCCTCAGCAGAGGGGTCCCATAGCAGAGGCTCGGGCTGCACAGAGGTGAGGTGCTGTTGTGGGGACCCCGGCTCTCTGGGGGGTGGCCCTGGACTCATGACGGTGGCTGTGGCAGTGGGCTGTGCTGGCTGTGCCCAGCCGGGGAGGCCCTAGGACTGTGGATGCCGAGTTTGGAGAAAGCAGGGGCAGTTGGGGCTCTGGGGCCGGAGTGAGTGTGGGCAACGGCAGAACTGGATTCCTGGGGTATGGGGTGTCACCCTGGGAGGAACAGTGCCTCACGTGGCTTCTGAGCTCTGTGGATGCCTGCACTGCCCCTCAGCGGTCTTTGGCGGAGGGGTGAGATCCTCTCCTCATGAATAAAGGCAGATTGATGTCTCTTAAATGGAACTGACTTCTTCCTAGAGGTGGGAGCTCTGTGGAGCGGCCCTGCTGAGCCGGCTCCTCCCTGAGGGTGGAGCGGGCAGGGGAGGGGTGGCCCTGCGGCCCAGGGAGCTGGGGAGGGCACCCTGGGGTGCTGCTTGAGAAGGGGCTGCAGCCTTGGCCTCGGGCCCACGCTCTGCTGTCCATTGGGTCCATGGGTGGCCTTCGCCCCCTTGCATCACCTCTGCTGCTGCCCTGGGCGATAGGGTGGAGCCCACCTCTGGGCTGGGTGAGATCCCAGTGCACCTGTGTGGGCCTCAGTCCACCCCTCCTCCTGGGCTCACCTCTGCCCCTGTGGCGAATCAGAGCCAGCCAAGGTCCAGGTGTCCCTCCAGAGAAGGCACAGCTAGAGTGGCCTCCGTCCCACAGGCAGGACAAACCCCGTACCCAGGCTCCTGCCTGAGCTCAGCCCGCTGGTGCCCCCATTCCCTGCCGAGCAGGGCTTACTTCACCCCAGCCAGACTGGTCCAGCCCACTCCATCAAGGTCAGAGCTCGCACATGGCCCTGTCCGGGGCAGGAAGGAGGTGGCATTTGTCGGGCACTGTCTGCCTGCCTTCATCCAGATTACCCTTCCTCCTGCTGGCACTTGAGTGCCACTGCCTGAATGAGGGTCTCTTTCTGGCTTGTGGCTGAGAGAGAGCCGTGGCCAGATGGAAGTGCAGCCTGGCCCGGGGAGAGGGGTGAGGGGCAGGCACCGCTGTACTCTGTGTTCTGTGGCACACACGCACACATCCACACCTCCAGCACGGAAGGTGGGAGCCCCCCAGTTTGCAAGGGGCCTGCCCTCTACTGCCTGGCCAGGGTAGTTATGGTAACCCCAAAGGAAAACAAGACCCGAAGGTCCCACTAGCCAGGTGCCCCTCCAGCCCCAGTGTTGAGTTGGGGGTGAGGCTCTGTGGGAGACTTCCCGAACAGCTCCCTGGTTGGTATGGTGTTGCCGACTTCCGGCCTTGAAATGGGCGGGTCCCTTGGGGTCCCTTAAAGGATGGGGTTGCAGAGGCCGGGCACAGGACACACCCCTGCAAGGTGCAGCTGTCACCGCAACCCCACTATCACACAGGGTCACTTTCACAGGTGGGTCCTGGGGCCGAGGCCAGCAGCCACACGCCAGCTTGGAGGGCTGTGCGAGGTATTCGTGAAGTGTGGGGGGACTGGACCCATGTTTGCCATGGTCACTGTCATCGTGAAGGTTTGGCGGAGACCTGCCACCCAGGGGACCTATCTGCCGTGGGACCCTGGGATGCGCCTCGAGTCGGGCCCAGCTTTTCCACGCTGCTCAGCTGATTTGTGCACTCAGCTGCTGTTAGCTGGGCTCCTCTGTGCCTAGCCAGTTACAAGAGGCCAGGAGTAGAAGTGGACTGTGCCCGGGCAGGAAGCCCCACCGTCCCTGAACCCCAGGACCACAGGTTGGGGGTCACCTGCTCTATCCCTCAGGTCAGAGGCCTCAGCTCCAGCGACCCGAGGATGCCGCTGCCTGCGTGGTGGTTGGCCCTAGGGTGAGGGGGGCTGGCCAGGCCCTAGGGTCTCGTGCCTCAGCATCTGTGCGTCCCGTGCTGGGAAGGTGGATCATGGAGCCTGGGGACAGTGACAGAGGCACAGAGCCCAGGCTGGGACATAAGAGGCTGTGTGTTACTCACCCGGACCCGCAGTTCACTCAGCAATCAGACAGGGTACATTGGGCTCGGGGACAGGGATTGAAGGATGTGCACGTAAGTGGATCTTTCTACAAAGTGAGGACAGTTTCTGGCACTGCTGCCCGGGAGAGGAGGACTGGACATGGGTGCAGGAGCCGGTGACAGGAAGAAGTGGCCTGTGCAGCCGGCCCTCCTGGGCAGCATCACGTCCCTTGCCGGTCTCCCCTTCGGTGGCTCTGGGCCACCTGCGCAGGATTCTTGCCCTTGGCTGGAAGGAGATGAGAGGGGACCCTGGACTTGGCAGCACCCCAGGGCCACACCCACATTCTGGGTCCCCTCCCTCCAAGATCAGAGCTCCCACAGCCTGCTCACACCTGCATTTCCAGGAGCCGTCGGCGAGCACCCCAGGGGCCCAGCGCCCTTGGTGTCAGGCCCAGCCACGGCAGCTCCTGCGCCTGCTGTGTGGGTGGTTTTGGCAAAATGTCCAGCATTCTCTGTTTCTTCATCTGAGAAATGGGCATCAGGAGGGCTTACTCGGGGGTTCCTGGGAATGGGGAGGGGCAGAGAGTAAACCCATAACCTGTGCCTGACACAGCAGGGCCCAGGCAGGATGGGGCTGCCTGCAGTCCAGCTCCAGGTCCCCAGGCCCAGGGACCCTAACTCCCATTCTGTTATGGCACTGGGGCATCGGGTCCCAGTGGAGCGATCCTGCCCCAGCACAGGGAGGGGACAGCGCGCCCTCTTGGTGGAGGAGGTGACTCAGTACTGTGAGGCTGGGAGGGGGAGGAGCCCTGACTGGCTTCACTGAGTTCCTTGTTCAAAAGGGCGAAGAACCTGGATGCCGTCCTGCAGGGGCCGGAGTGCCTTGCTCCGCACTGGGGCATGCGGCAAGGCAGGTCTCTACTTGGGAGGCCTGGCCCAGGGGGAAGGGTGGGGCGGGGAGTGTGACTGTGTCAGGTCCATATTGGTCTTACTGCAAGTTGAGATCTGAGGGCTGAACATGGGGAGCCAGGGAAGAGGGTCCTGGCCTGTGTGAGGGCTTAGGTCTGCTGGGGTTTCCGGTGAAAGGGTGGGCATGGGTGGCAGGAAGTCACCCCAGAAGTGGGGGAGGAAGCAGCCTTGCTTAGTCAGCATCCTTGGCCGCAGTGCTGGCCCACGTAGCAGGAGTTCCCAGATGAGCTCAGCCTCCCCAAGGGCCAGCTTCCAAACCCAGCAGCCCACAGCAGCCCGAGCGAGTGCTGGGGAAGGGTGAGAGCTGCATCCGTCCCTGGAGGCACTGGAGCGAAGCCTGCATCCTGGCTGATGGAGCAATGATTTCATCCTGGATGGTGCTGGATAAAACTGACTTTGAGGCTCCTTCCAGCTGTTGTGCTCTGGCTCCACACGAGCCTCTCTGGGGACAGCGAGACCATATAAAATATAAATCAATAGGTTAAAAATACGCTGGTCTCCTGCCCTTCCGGGCCCCGTCGCTCCACCTGCCTCCTCCATTTCAGAGTCTTGGAGCCTGGGCAGGGACAGCTTTGTTCCCCAGCGAGGCAGTGCCACCTTGGTGCGATTGACAGGGCCTCACTGTTTTCTTTTTCCGCCATCCCGGGGCTGCTGAGTGGGGCACGCTGCCCCATCCTGGTGGACTCCCTCTCCTCCTGTCCTCCCTGCTGCAATCTTCAGGGGAAAAGGTGGCCGCTGACTGCGCAGCTGCCGCTGCGACTCCGCAAGTCCAGACCCAGGAAACTTCTGTCTCTGAAGGAGCTGGAGGGGCGGAGATGGCCAGTGTGGTGGCCCTGAGGAGCCAGGCTGAGCGCGGAGCCGGGAGCCCCAGATGCATCCAGTCTCCCCTCCGGGGTTCCCATGGCAACGGGACTGTTGGGAGCCACTAACGCGGAGTGGCAGCGGCTGAAATGAAATCTGATGTACCCGAGAATTCAGTGGCCGGTGCAGTAATTGGGGATCAATCTCTTTTTCCCACCGGGTCCGACAAGACCTCATTGCCAGTACTTACTTATTTATTTGTGTTCACAAGTCGCTCTTGAGGAACATTGGAGTGCTCTGAAACACATTTATTCTCATTTTCGAAACAGTTGCATTTGTGCCCGGCTTTGGTACGTGGGCAGGGCCCGTGTACGTGTGGAATGGTTTAGCAGCACAGTAGGTGTACGTGTGCCGCCAGTGGTTTATGGAGCCCCTCCGGCTGCCTCGCACCTCCCCTTCTGTCGGCCTGCGGGGGTGGGGTAACGAAAGCAGCCGCTTCCACTAACGGTTCAGGACCCACAGGAGCGGTGAGCCCCTGCCGAGTGTGTCTGGTGCCCACACCGGGTCTGCCGTCTCCCCGGCCCCTCTGGGCACGGGTTGAGTTGTCCGGGGCTGGGTTTGAATAGTTCCCACTGAGTGGAAACTAATGGGAGGATCCCATGGGACTGTGCTGTCCCCCAAAGTCGCTCTGAAGCCACGCTCAAGTTTTCTGAGCAGAAACACACTTTGCTTCTGTGTGCAGTGGTGCAAGGGACAGCGCCAGCTGCTATTTGAGAGACCTGAAGCGAAGGGTTTTTGTGTCCATCTTGCGGAGCCTTGGAATCCACTGACATCCACCTTCTCCTCTCTGCTAACCCGCAGGTGATACTGATCCTGACGAAGTACTACCATGCGGACATGGGGAAGGTTCTGGAAAGTTCCCTGTGGCGGTAAGTCAGCCCAGCCGTGGCCTTCCTCCTGTGCCTGTGCCTGGTCTCGGGGCTCCAGTCGAGGATAAAGGTCCAAATGCCTGGTGTCGCATCTCCTGTGTTTCGGTAGCCTTGCAACTTTCCTTCACTGGAGCACGCATGAAGGAGAAGTGAAAGAAAGCGGATTGTGAGTGTGGTTGGCGGGCGCCGTGTCCCTGGCAGATGGACCGTGTTCCTAGGGCCTCTTTGCCTGCCCCTCCTTCCTTGCAGTTGTTTTCGCCTTCCTTTTGTTTCCTCCCTGCAGGAGAAGGGTTCACAGGGCCAATTCCGGTCAGTACCCCATTTCTCCTGTGAGCTCCGGCAGCCCTGACGCTCCTGCTGACCTCATTGTTAAGATTTTTCTTTCTCCCTGGCTCCTAAACTGAAGGGCTTCTTGGTCAATAAAAAACCCAGCAAGGGGCGGGGTGTCTCTTTATGTGCAGGGTGAACCGGCCCAAGAACACTAGCACCCTTTGATGTTTCCAGCCAGCAGAGGGCGGCTCTGCTCTGCGTGGCTTTGGGTGCAGGCTGTGGGTTCAGCACTCTTCTCCCGTGAGGTTCTGCTTCTTCCTCCACCAGCGGCTCCCTGGGTGGATCCGTTTTGGCCTCTAATATGTGTTTCTCGGGCAGAATCCATGCCTTTGTAAGGTTTTCTTATTTGGGGAACTCCTGCCCATCAGGATTTCTGATTTGTGGGGTGCAGCCTGGTCTGAGGCCCACCCTGCAGTGCTTGTGGAGCTCTGGGAGGGGCCCTTCAGGAAGTCGTTGGAATGGTGCCTGGTATAAGGAACCATGTCTCCTTGAGCCAGGGACGCCCGGTCACCTGTGGTGCTAATGAGGCCACTCTTGCTTCCTGGGTCCCCCTCCCCATGCTGTGCCTCACCCCCCAATCACCACCTGTCCCTCCAATTCCGTCACCATCACCAGGACAGGAGCTGGCCGGGGCTGCATCCCGACTGCAGTGCATCCGGTGTGGGCCCCGCTCCTTTGCTTTCTGACGGAGAGGCCTGTCTTTGCTGCTCCAGGGTTGGGAGAGCCTGGCATTGTTTCCTGATGAGAGCAGAGAGTGCAAGTGGCAAACTCTGGTGAAGTCTCTTCTCTTTGGGGTCGGGGCTCCTAGGGCAGGGCAGGCCGGGAAGGGGGTTTGTACCCTCGCTGCTAAGTGGACGGCAGTGGCGGAGGGGTGGATCCTGTCCCGAAGTGCATCCATTCCCATTTTGCTTGGGCAGCGAAGGCTCCTTCTGGGTGTGTTCTGGGTCACACACACAGACTCGCTGGGAGCAGGTTCACATTTGCCGTGGATTCTCACTGGGTGGGTGGCTGAGCACGGCCGCCCTGTGGCCTGTGCCTGGGACTCTGTATGAACCAGCACCAGGTGGAACTCATCAGAAGCAGGGTCCTGGGGAAGGAGGCTCCTCCTCCCAAACCTCAGTCTCCTGATCTGTAAAACGGGGATGAAATTGCCCTCAGATGAGGTTATACAGACTGAGCGAGGTGGAACATGGAACAGCTCTAGCATGGTGCAAGGTCTAAATTTAGTTTTTCCCCAAAGCAAATCAACAGCTTTTAACTTTCTTCGTTCCTTTCCTCATCACCATCTCCATACCCAGACGTTTCCTGCCTTTATTAAAAATGCATGCAACAACATTAGTCATTTCAGGAAACTTCTCCCGCATCCCTTCGCGTTGCGCAGTTACTTGCTTTGTTTGTGTTCTCTTTTTTATGCTGACATTCTCCCAGGGCTGTAGACACAGAATAAAGTTTCCCAGTCTTCTTTTCACTTATCAGCCACGTTTCCAGTTTTCCCAGGTTGTCACGTGGCCTGTGTCATCATTTCTTTTACAGCTGCACACGAGTCCCTGGAGCTGATTCGCTCTAGTTCTCGGCCGTCCCAGCATTGATGCTGCCATAAAAATTTCAGGCATGTAGTTTTCCCTTTCATTTTGTTCCCTGGGATGGATCTTTCGGAGCTGTGTTACCGAGCCCGAGAGACCACGTGGGACGGAGGGGGTGCTGGAACACTGCGTTCCCCTTCTGGGGTGCTGTTCCTGGGGGAGCCGCTCCTGCCAGGAGGGCCTGCAGCACCGGCCTGAGAACGCGTCTACAGCCTGCTAATGTGTTGATCTTCTGACCTGCGGGCCCCTGGTTCCCAGAGAGGACGGGCAGTTCCTGCTGTTTAATCAGCAGTGACAGTTTCTCTCTCAGGCACTATCCGTCCCCGTGCTTGCTGTCCACCTACTTTGGGACTCAGGCGAGGAGCACCGAGAAGCCCACAGCCTGCCTTTGACGCTTCCCAGATGCCCCCTGGCCTGTCTGTGAGGCCCGCGGGGATGGAGAGTTGGTGGTGCCAGTGTCTGGGGAGCAGGTATGAAGTGGGGCAGTTAGAGACACACTTACGGGATGTGCACAGGGCTGTCCAGGAGTCCTCCGGAACCACAAAACATGCATGGTTAATGCTGGGGATGGCATTTATGTCCTGGAAAGAGCTCTTCAAAATGTAAGCCGAATGGATGCATTTCCACGGACCCCACCAGCAACTTCCCCTTCTCAGCCTCCAGGACCGCATACTCTGTCCCTCCCTCTGCTCAGACTTGGGACCCCTTGGAATCAGGGAGGGGACTGAGATGCCCTCTAAGTGCAGGTTGGCACCGGGAATCAAAGTCACCCCCCACACCCTGCTTGCCCTTGGGGTCCATGGCAGAGACCTCCTTGTTAAAGCTGGGGCCGGCCCTGTGACCCATCTTGGTCACTGTCATAAGTGACCATAAGCCGGGGCTTCAAGTGGCGGAAATGTCTTCTCTCACTGTCCCGGAAGTCAGGAGCTCAGACCGAGGCGTCCCCAACAGCAGCTGCCCTGAAGCTCCAGGGAAGGCACTTCCTGTCCCTGTTGCTCCCGGTCCGTCCTCGTAGCTGTGGCGCTCCATCCCTGGCCCCACCTCCACATGGCCTTATCCCCGTGTGTGTCCCTTGAGTGTCCTCTGAAGACACTGGTCACTGGACTCGGGGCCGAGGATGATGTCATCCTGAGAGCCTTAACTCAGTCATACCTGCATAGGTGCCTTTTCCAAATAATGTCATAGGACATCTCGTTAGGGCCACCGCGTATCTGGCTGCACTGTCCATCCTAAGCCCTGCTGATCCCCTCAGTGGCCCCTGCACTTATCCGCTTCCCTGTTTCCTCGACCCTGCTTTGCCTCTTCTCTTGCAGCTGGGTCCCAGTTGCTGCCCCTGCCCTCGCCCGTCTAGGGACGAGTTGGCCCCCTGACACAAGAGACGACCAGCACTCAGGCTGGCCCTGCCCAAGTGCTCCATGAATCTGGACTTTTTGCACAGAAGTAAAGCTGTCCCTGGAACACCACTGCTCTGGAACTCATGGAATTTGGTACCTGATGAATTTTGACTTGAAAATTTTGTCCCGTACTCATTTGCTTGGTACTCAACGTGCAAACTAGAGCTTGTCGGTATTGCTTGTCTTGTGACTTGACAGCCTTTCCAGCCAAAACAATTTGTTTGATACTTGCTGTTATTGGTGCTTGTGAGGAGTCCTGGAACCAGTTAATAAGGATTCACTAAGGTATAGGTGTACATCTCTCCCGCCCTTCTAGAACCAGTGTCTACCCCATGGGGGCACCGCTGTTGTCCCCGCTGAAAGTGCCTGGCAGGGAAGAGGTCTCCAGCCTTCCCTGAACAGGACTCCTGGGGTCTGCTAAGTGCACATTCTGATTCCTGGGTCTGCAGTGGGGCCTGCGACTCTGCATTTTAACAAGCTCTGGGAGATGCTGGTGCCCTGGCTTGTGGGTCGCATGTTGAATAGCAGGCTCTGGTGGTTCTGAGGTCACAGGGGACCTCTGCAGTGCTAAGCAGTGGCTGGCTGAACCAGACCAGGCTGAGCTCAGTACACACAAGGTCCTGTGTATGCTGCAGCTGCCTGCCTGGAACATGCTGGCATGGCCCTTGTGCCGGCTTCCTGCCCACATTCAACCTCAGCATAAAGCTCTTGTCCTCAAAGAAGCTGCCCTGCATCTCTGTGTGAATAAGCCCCAGGCATCCTCTTTCCCATCTCTCACTGAAGTGTGGTTGTTCTTGTCTGTTGTTTTCCAGATGGATGGATGGATAGATAGGTGGATGGATGGATGGATGGATAGGTGGAGAGATGAATGGATGGGTAAGTGGATGGATGGGTGGATGAATGGATGGTTGGATAGGTGGATGGATAGGTGGATAGGGAGATGGATGGATGGGTGGGTGGATGGATGGATGGATGGATGGATAGATAAGTGGATGAATGGACAGATGGATGGCTGGATAGATGGAAGGATGGATGGGTAGATAGGTGGATGAATGAATGGATGGATGGATGGGTGAGTGGATGGGCGATGGATAAATGGATGGATGGATAGATAGGTGGATGCATGGATGGATGGGTGGATGGACAAAAAGATGTAAGAGGCCGTGATGTAGCCTTCTGGGCTTCTTGAGATCTCACCCTGAGCATGGCTGGTGAGCAAATGGGTTTGAAATAGAGGGGACAGTCCTACAGCCCAGCTTTCTCTGTGTCTGCACCATCCCTGAACCAGGACAGCACTAAAGCTTTGCCAACCACACCTTCCCATGGGCACATGTGACCTGGATCACAGAGGTGTTGGGGTGGGATGGTCTCAGCCTCCCTGTGGGTGACATGGGAGTCCTGTCCTTTTGTGAGGGGCGGGGGTGACTCGCTCTCTGCCCCAGCTCCACTGTAACCATGGAATCTTAATGTATACGGAAAAGCACAGAATGCTGTACCACACACAGAGTGTACTACACGCTCGGGGTTCCCTTCCTTCCCGCCTCCCTTGTAGTCAGCCGGGGATCCATGAGGAATTTGGGCTATGGACAGTGAGTGGGAGTAATGTGGAAGCAGCAACTGAAATTTAAGGAGTCCATTTTTACCGAGCCGAGCCTGGCCCAGCTCAGTACTTGTTATCCAGCTGTAATCAGTA